CTGTTTTTAACCTTGACCAGGTTGCTGATGCAGCTGCTTGCGCAGCCAGGCGAGCCCTCCTCCCTCCCTGCTCGAGGGCTGTGTGCAGTAGGAGGGTGGGAATACCTTCCCCAGTGGTACCGCCACCACCATAGAGCATCAAAGCCCTTTCCTGAGGAACAGCTTCTAGCTGCAGCTCTGCTAGAGCACAGCCTGGGGATCGGCAGGAAAAGCTGCCGTTTGCGAGATGTTTGCAAAAGGGATGAGTCACATCAGTCCGGGCTGCAGTGCTCTGCATTCCCCTTGCAGTCGGTATTAGCACCTCTGAATTGCTGATGGCGGAGATCAGATCAACCCTTTGGTTGCCACAGCTCTGCTCTGACGCGTCGCTGCTGCTGCATTCGTGGCTGCCGCCTTCCCCACAGCCCTCTGGCCAGGGCCGCGCGCAGCCCCGCAGCACGCGCTGCGCTTTGGCTGTGGCCTGGGCGGCTGTCGTGGCGCTGCGTGTGCAGAGGTACCACAAGAAAGGATGGATGCAAATGGAACATATTGACTGTGGAGAGTTGTGTATCACACCGTGAAAAGTGAATCACTCCCCTTCCTGGCTCCCATCCACATGTGCCCAGGTAGTCACGTCTGCAGCGCTCCCCACTGAAGGTCTGGGCGCATCTCCACACGCCACTGCCTCTCTGCAAAGCTCAAAATGGTGCCACTCAGCTAGCAAAGAGGGAGGCTGTGCTTGAACAGGCGAAAGACACTAGCAGCACTGTGAGGCTGCCTTGTTCTCTACACAGAAGGCTGTCTCAGATCTGTCTCAATTTCCCCGATAAAAATATATGCATGTGCACAGTGTGGCTTGGCACTTAGAGAACAGAGGTTACTGCGTGTGCGTGTAGCAAAAACAGCTCTCATGCAATTAACTGTGGGAGTGCAGGGCTTAGAGGTCTGCGTGCTGTGCCGTTCGTCTAAGCACATGCAGAAGAAACAGTCATGCTGTAGCTCTGACTGTGCTGCTAGGCATCCCAGGCAAACGCAGAAAGAGAACAAATAAGACAAAAGAGAATAAATCAGACTGAGTAATTTCTCTTGGTTTCTACCTGATTGTGTCAGAGAAAACCTGGGCAAAAGCATAAAGCTGTGCTACATCCAGGGCATGGCTGATAGTACGGAGCACAGGTCACAGTGAGGGGATGGAAGGGGAGGAGGGTGAGGACCTTTGTACCTGGCACAGAGCAATTTTTCTCGAAGCTCCAATGCAGGAACCACCTCAGCTCCATTAAGCATGTTGATTCCTTCCCCTTTAACACATCTATGCCAGCATCAACTCGATCCTGGGAAGCCAGGCTAAGCCAGTGGTGTGTTAGGCTCTGTGCAGGGCTGAGGGCTCTGTTAGGTTGAGGATCTTTTTCCTACCCCTGTGGTGGGTTTTGTTAGTCTGTGTACCAGTTGCTAGGCATTTTTTTTGTTTGTTTGTTTTGCATTTTGCCTAAATCATTTTCATTGATGAGAGCATCTGCTGCCATCTGTGCCTCCCCCTTGCTCCCCCTAGCAGAGCTTAGCCACAGTTTGGAGGGAGAGCTTGTGTGGTACTGGCTGCGTCACCCCCAGCACGGATCCTGCACGGGACTGCCTGGGAACAAGGAAGGAGAGCAAGGAAGGGACAGCTCTATCAATACCGCACGTGCTATCACGAGCCAGGATATATCTGCTGGCTGCCGTGACTGCATTAGCCCGAGACTGCTGCAATGATAAGGTCCCAGGCAAGATCAGGACCGAGTGGTACTTGGACAGGACGCAGTTCCTGCTCCAAGAACCCAATAAATGATGAAAAAGAGAGTTGGAGGAGAAATATAGAGGTGAAGTGACCTCAGTAAGATCACCCAGAGCATCAGTGCATGTCTGGGAAGACCAGCCAGAGCTATGGCCTACTAGCAGCACAGCTCTGCCTTCGGGACCACACCGTGTACTGGATCCATCTCAAACAACATGCAGTACAACAGATGTCTTACAGATGTCATGACGCAGGGGGGAGCGCGGCGTTTGGGGAGGAGAGCCAGGGTTTTGTTGGTGATTTACTGTAGCCGCAGAAGAACAGGAACAAAATGCAAACAATGCTGCAATTTGCATACTCCTCTGATTGCAATTCAGGTATCCAGGGTGAAGGCTGCTCCAGCGCTGACTCACCACGTTTGGCTTTGACACGAAAACACGGCCTGTTGGCTCACCCCCATCATGGGAGCCAGAAGATGCCGGCATTGAGCTGGGATGGGGTTACCTGAGAGAGTCCCACCTTGTCCTATTTAATACTGCTAGCCCCCAAGGTATGAGAGACTGGAGGGATGATATTTACTATTCTCGGAGCATGCAGGTAGCAAACCTCAACTGTTTTACCCTGGCTGGGATTTGATCCTGTGCCTGCAAACTGACTCCAGGGCATTTACAGCAGAAGCAGCATCGCCAAGCCCTGGGCATCGGCAGGTGACGGGGCAGAGCGGCCGGGCTGCGCTTGCGTAACCGCAGCGCCGTGGATCCGCACGCACAAACGATGCGCAGCCCCTGCGCGACCTGGCCCCAGGGACACGCGGCTCTGTGCCAGCATGCAGGGGCGAACACGGCAGGACGCGCAGCAGTGCCTGTCGGTTCTTCTCACCCAGCCCTGCGACCCCCCGGCCTCGTGTGCACGTCTCGCTGGAAGGAGCCCAGCCGTGTCCCGCAGCCCCGTGCTTTGATTTGCCCTGCAGCTGTGGGCCCTGGGTCATGCAGTGCAGCTGAATGACTCAGAGCTGCGTGCACAGGGAAAAATCCATCTCCTGTCTCCTCCCGGCGCCCAGATGCCTTGGAGATGGGCAGTAAAGTAGAGCAGCGCAGCTGCAGGGATGCCCATGGAGCGGGCTGAGGGGGCCCTCTACCTGTCTCCAGCAGTAGGGCTTGCAGGAACGCTCTCCCCACAGGGACAAAGACCAGCTCTCCCCTCCTCACCGAGGCGAGCCCGTATTATTATTTTTTCCACCTCATGAGAGCTCTCCTTCACCCCGAGAACACCACACAAGCATGGCAGACACCCAACGGAGACGCGTGATTTCTCTGCGGCATTTCACCGCGGTGGCATTAGACCTTGGGCTGCCCAGGAGCGCGGTGGCACCACCAGCCCTGCCGCTCTCTGGCAAAAGCAAAAACCCAACTGAGTCTCCCGAAAGCAAAAGCCCAACCGCATTTTAACTTCCCCATGGACCCCTGCTTCTGCCAATAGGCTACAGGATGGCTGCAGTCTCAAAGACTGTCTGGGGCCAGCTTGGTTTTTGGGCTCTTTGCTGCCGAATGTGACAGAGGCTATGATCTCGTAACCAAAAAATATATATTAAAAAAAGGTGTGATTTGGTGATGGCTCCGGGGCCGAGTTTCGAGCGGCAGATATAAGAAGGCAGAGAAACCGCCGGAAACCAGCCCTACTGTTGCACTGGTATCAGCGTTGGCAAACCCTAGATTACAGAACTTTCCTGAAGCTTTACCTAAAAAGGTAAAAAGCAACAAACAAACAAACAAACAACAACAGCAAGCAAAGTAGCCTTTAGAAGACCTGCCTGTCTTCTTATTGCCTTGTTCCCTTAAAAAAACGACCAGTCAAACAAAACAGCCTTACCTGTGTGGATCTTGTCGATCTTTCTCCGGAGTTGTCTCCGTGAACGCAGCCTATGATGGAGGATGGTGGCCCAACGCACCAGGCAGGGGCCACCTGTGGCAGATGCTGCCTCAAGGCACTGTCGACATGCCCAGGGCTGACTTTCTGCTCCCATTGTCCATTTTGGCACTGGGGACATTTCTCTAGGGTTGGCTGCCAAGGAGGTGCCGCCATTTTGGAGGGCACTGATGCCATTTTGGGGAGTGGCGCCACCTTTTTGAGGGAGGGGGGCCACTGCCGCCATTTTGGGGAGTGGCGCCACCATTTTAGGGGTGCTGCAGGCCACCAGGCACAAGATGGCTGACAGTCTCCTGTACACCCTGCTGCAGCGCTGAGGAGGGGACTGCAGAGGTGGCGGCCAGGGACAGGGTGATAAATGTGACAGTTGCTAATCGTAGCCTGCCCTCTCAGGCCCCCCACAGCGGGCTGCTGCAGCATGCAGTGATGGCCACTTTCCTGGGAATTTCACACCTTTCTCTCTCCTTGGACTCATGCACAAGTCGAGAGAGAAGAGGATGATGTTAGGAATTACGCCAATGCGTCAGATATCAGAGGTATCTTTATTGACCATTTACAGAAGTACAGTAGCACTTGGCTTACGGAATTTATGTACGTTCTCCAGGAGGTGCCTAATGTCTCAGCAGTGCCAGGAGATCCCATGGAGACTCCTTCCTTCTTTTTTATGGTCTGCTGTAACTCTTTGGGGCTTGACTGGAGGCTTTGGGGTCCTCTAGTGTGAACTTTTTTGACACTCAGTTCTCCAGGGGGTCTAAGCTGTTGCAACCATTGGATGAAGCTCAGCTGAGAACTGTATCAGAGAAGGAAAAGGACAAATAAAATCATCCCCCTCAAAAAAAAAAAGTATATGGGGGGCACACGTGTGATATGTTCTGTGGCAGCCCTGCTCTGGTGGCCAGGTTTCTTCCTCTCAGCAGCAGGCACGTTGCTTTCCGGCCTCGCGCTCCGAATCAGCGCAGGTTTTGGAGGTACCTGGAGTGCCGAGGCCACCGAGGCCCTGCTGTCCCCCGGCAGCAGCCCTGCTCGTGCTCATCCGCTCAGTGGCTGGGCCGCGTTTTCTGCGGCTGCTCCTCCGCCTGCACCGCTGCAGCCAGTTTTCCTGTCTAGGCTTTTTCGTTCAGTCACGTTTACCTCTAAGTTTTGCACTCTGCTGTCACATAGTTTTGTTTCTTATTACAAAGTAGATATTTTTCTCCCTGTACGTACAAGTGAAACCCTTTCCTACAGTTCGCATACAGTTTAGGGGTAGGAAGGGTATGCTTGGTTAGGCTGATAAATTCTTTTAATTTTTAGTTATGTATTTACTCTTTTTTCTTTTTTTTTTCAATCAAGGTGTAGTGTTGTTTTTGCATCCTTGCTACAGGAAATAACTGCAGACACTTCTGGCGTAGAGGCATTTTGGCAGCTGCTGCTTCTGGCATCACTCTAGTAGTCAGTGAGTGGGTATCGCAGGAAGATGAATATAAGGATGATACAGAAGGTGGCAAGGGCTGAGCTGGTGATGTTAAAAAGCCGAGCTGTCTTGGCATCTTCAACTGCTCCATTTAAGTCATTGAGGAGTTTCTTATCCCGGACCTGAGACAAAAAAAAAAAAAAAAAGGGAGATGTATAAAAAGGCATCAGTGCACTGGTTTCAAGCGACATCCACACAACTTGAGTGCACTCAAGTGCACACTTTGAAAGGTGCCTGTATAGCAGACAGCAGCTGCCAAATTTCTGTGTTTTAATGCTTTGTGATGCAGATCCTCCCATTATAAAATACCTTGAGATTCATATCCTAGCTCTACTGTGTACTGGACCTGTGAATTCAAGTGCTGAAATGTATATGGACATGGAATATAACTTGGATATAACTCAAAGCCCAAGGGTATACAAGGGAACTAATCATCACCGCTGTTAGGCATTCCATGTACATCTTTTGGCTTCCCCAGAGTAAGCTGTTGTAGCACCATCGTGTTGTACCATCTGCATTCTGGGCCTGAAATGCTGAGGTTTGGGTCAGCCGGTTGTAGAGCAAGAAATCTGACTCTAGTTCTGGTGCGGATCTGTGTGCTTCTGACTGCAATGAAGGGCTGAGCGTGCAAAACCTGGCACTGGATCCTACTGCAGTTCAAGGGCTGCGCACAAGCCTCCAGCATATTAAATACTCCTGGGTTAATGAGCTGCTCCTGCAGCTCATGTAGCATCTCTACCCCTGGCAGCTTTCAGTCCTAACAGCATGGAGTACCGTGTTCATCACGGCAGAGGCTATGACTTGCGTGGGCTCTGCAGAGGGGTGATGATGCCGCGCGGCTGAGCCGCTGGCTGTCCCACCTCTACTGGGTGCCAGCTCCAGGGCAGCACTGCCTGCCAGGAGCTGCGCGGTGCTTTAGAGCGCAGCAGACTGGGGACGTGTCCAGCAGTTCCCAGCGGCGATGTGTCCCTGTCACACAACCACTCTTACAGATGGCACCTCACTGCATCCTGGCCAGTAGCGGGTGCAACAGGGACGTAGGATGAAAAGTCTTGCAGGATTTAGCTCTTTCCTCTTTCCGGTAATGGAGCAGGGGCATGTCCAGGCTGGTGCAGCACGGCAGTGTGTCCTGTGCTCCGTGTGCTCCATCACTGGAAGGCCTTAGGCAGCAGCGCTGCGTCGTTCTTGACAGCCCGTGCTTGCTTTTGGGAGCACTAGCGCTGTCCCAGCTCAACGCTAGGTGTCGATGGCAAGCCGCGAAGACCCGCAGTCAGCGCCAGAGACACCCAGAGACATGAAAAGGCTTTTACTGACCGGGACGCTTCCCAAGACCTTCTGCAGGGGATCCACATCTCAGTGGCGCTTTCACTCTCCCTCCTGCAGCTCTTGCCCACTGTGCTGTCCACAAAGCCTGGTGCTGCTTGCTGAGCAAGGAGTCCCTCAGACCTGCAGTCACTGGGCCATGCCAGCCCCAAAGGCCACCATGTGTTTCAGCCCCTCCAGCAATGTCCCCTCCATCCTGAAAGCAGCAACCCTGCCCTTTGTCACCACAGCGAGGACATTGCTGCACAAACACCCTCTGCTCTTCGTTAATCATGCACGATGGGGAGGGAGGCCACTGCTTGTATACAGTGTGCAAGAGCCTGCACTGACAGTCCTATCAGCAAGGATGGGAAGGAAAATCTGTTTCCTTCTCCTCTCACCCTGGGAACAGATCAGGCTGGCCTGGCGCCTGAAGCTGCTGAGCAGAGCTGTGGTGCTGCTGGTGCAGAGCACTCATGGATCTCAGCCCACGCTGAGTGCTGCTCGAGCAGCCAGCCCTGAAGCTACCCCGGTGCAAAGGAGGCAGGCTGGGAAACTGCTGGGAATTGCTCCTTGTCAGGAGCCAGGTGCTCGGAGTGTCATCCAGGTGCCCTAGGCACTGCACATGCTGCTCTTTCAGCGTCTCAGGGGACCTGCCTCATTGTGCTGAGAGGGGACAGGTGGGAGCCCAGTTTCCAGTCCACAGCAGCAGGATTTCTCATGAACATATCAGTGGATGTGGCAGAGTCAGGGGGCCCTTTGGCCCCTCTGCAGCAGCAGAAGCATGTTCCCTCCTGCTTGATGGAGAAAGGATGCCAGGAGGAGTCCAGGTTCGGCTGGCAGAGTGGTGTTTACGCTGCGGTTGGCCTCCCACAGTGCCAGACTGTGCTTGGGTTTATGGCGTGTTTGGATGATGCCTTCAGTAGTGAAGACCACCTGGAGGCAGGTGGCAAGGCTGCACGTGCCATTCAGCGTCAGCTTTGGGCCTCACCGCTGAAATTATTCTGCAGATTTAGTGCCCTCCTGAAAGCCCTGAGCATCTCAGTGCCAGGCAGCCGGCACCTCCTTACCAGCAGTAATAAATGCTGAGGCCTGTGCTTGCGAGCCCACGTGCACAGACAGGTTTCTCAGCCCAGACAGGCAGAACCGCCGGGGCCCCAAATTCAGATCCCGAAGCCTTGGAGATGCTTCCCGTGGTCTCTTTTAAGTGAAGAGCAGTCTCTAATGCGCTCACCTCCCCGCGACGCTCGGGCTGCCAAAAGCAAAGCGCGTGCTGCAAATGCCGCGTCTCCTCCTGGCGCTTCAGGGATGGGCGGGCTGCGTGTTTGGTGGCGGGGCTGAGGGAAGAAGGGGCCTCTGTTCACAGCAAGTCGCTGCTGCTCGTGTCCCCGCAAGCAACAACTAAGCAGAACCAAGTGTAGACAGTGCAGCTTGGAGACGTTTCTGCAGCCCATCCCGTGCAGCCTGGTTGCCTTCAGCCCCGCTGTGTCTTCAGTGGCCTGGCATGGCTGGAGCACCAAGCTTCCTACCCCTCGTGCTGCCTCCTCACCGCCCTCTCTTGCTCCTGTCTCCCTTGGTGCCTGGCTCTCGAGCACTGCTCCCCGTGGCAATGATTTCCCTACCTGGCTCTTTCCCACTGCTCCGAGCATCCTCTCTGATCTGATGCCGACTCACACTCGTGACCAGTGCCTTAGCTCTTTTCCATGCCTTGCTTTGGCAGCACTTGGCATCTCAGCCCTTGCCTGCTGTCTGTGATTCGTCTGCCTCCCCTTTCCTCTCTCCTTCCAAACAATGAAAAACCGACCATTCTGCTTTTAATCTTGCTCTCCCCTTTGCCTAGTGTCTGCTTGCAGCTTTTCTTTAGCTCTCCCTCTGTCTCTACCCCACCTCCAGTTCTTGTATTGCTGAGCATTTTAGAGAGAGTCTTAGGAGGCTGATGTCTTCCCAGCTCTGCCTTTCCTTCCAGTTCAGTTTTTGTCCATCCCTTTTCTCCCTTCCGTAATTTGCTACCTTCAGCACGCTCCTCACAGCCTCTGTGCCACTACTGCCTTCTCCCCTTCATAGGTTCTCCCAGACTTCTGTTTGTGTCCATGAAGGAACACTGAGCAAAGGGCCCCTTCACCCATCTTCCTCACTCCTCCACCTCGCCGCCGGACTCTTCTTCTTCACCCTTAGACCTGATCGGTCCTTGTTCAATCAGCTGGTCTTGGTCTCCAACCTCTCTCTGTTTTCTCTGTTTTTTTTTTTTTTTTCTCCTGCTTAACCAGCCTCCTCTGACTTCTTCCCTTCTGCAAAGAAGGACACAACTGGTCCCTTCTCCTGCCTGTGTGGACAGCCCCATCCTACTGCTCCCCCAGATCCCTGTGGCACACGGTTCTCTACGGGGAACCCTGTGGTGAGGAGGTACCATCGGCCATCACCTTCGAGCAGATACAGAGCGAGCTTTGCCTTTGGCTTCCCCTAGCTGTGTGCTGACCTTCCTCTTCCCCTTGCTTTGGCCCCTTTGGCAGCTCCTTCATCCTGCCCCTGTCTTGCAGAGTCCCTGTGTGTGCTGTCCTTGGCCCCTTCCTCTCCTCCCTAACTGTATTGCCAGCCACCCTGTGGCTCCAGCTGGCATCTTACGCAAATCTTCAGCTATTGGCCATTATCAGCTGTACTGCAGTCAAGCCCACGCGCTCCCAACAAGAAGCAGGGCTCCTGCTGCACGCAAACAGAGTGAGAAGACATTTCTTCTTTCAAATCACTCGCAGTCTCTGTCTCCTACTTCTCTCTAGCTCAGCCTCATCACCTCCGGCCTGGGCTTGCATACCCAGCACACTCTCAAACATCTCCCTTTAACATCTTGCTGCAACATGAAATTCAGTGTCTGTAGGAGGAGCTCTCCTAGACAGCTGAGACACGTCCTGACTCCTTCCCGGCTCTGTCCTTCTTAAGGAGATGCCTGTCTTCCTCATATCCTAGCCTCATCTTTTTGTATTTTCATGCTTCTGTGACCACCAGCAGCCGTAATGTGCTGGCACCTGGCAAACGAGAGTGAGCCAGTCCTTGCAGAGTGTTCGGGAGGCCTGGAGCTGCCACTGGTGTGCCGGAGGAGGTGAGCCTGCAGGGGGAAGGTCTCCAAGGTCACAAGGCCATCGAAAAAAGGGAAAAATCTCTGAATTCGGATCTGGTGTTTCCTTACACACAGACTGTCTTTTCTCACTCTTGCTTTGCTCCTTTTTACCTTGCCTGAAAATATTTTAGGATTTAGGCCAGAGTCCTCTGCCTTTCCTCCCTCTGGGTATGCTGGTGGCTTCCCCACTCAGCGCTCCCTCCAGTTCTCCCAGTGAGATATTTCTCTCCACCTATTTGTCTGCCTTTCAGTCCCATTGCATATCTGTATTTACCCACCACCTGGAAGTCTCCTCCCTGTCCGCTATGTGCGAGCTCCCTTTTCCCCGTGAGCTCCTTGGCCTCTTCCCAAGGCCTTTCCTCCCTTGGCTGCCCCTGCAGCAACCTCCTCTGTCTCTGCTTTCTGGCCTTGGCCCCTCTGGTTGAGGAGCATGACTGCGTGAGGACCAAGTGCTGCATCAGCTTCCCGAAGGAGACAAATGGTTTGTTGATAACGAGTCTAATGAGGCTGTATTTAAGGCAGCCTGGCTTTTAGTATTCAGCCTGCAGCTGGTTCGATGGATGCTTTGGGAAGAGGCTGGTGCAACTATAAACCAATTTCCACACAGTGCTCCGCTTCCCTATCCATAAGGAGCTTTTGGCTCTGGAGGAATCCTTGGGTTTATTTGCTGTAGAAATCAGTTAGGGCTTTCTAGCCCATCCAGCTTCTTTGTGATGATACTTGGACTGTGCCATGCAGCTGAGAAGCAGCTTTTGCCCCTTGGTTTCACCTACCTCCATAAACAGTTGCACCTTCACCAAAAGCAGCCTCAGAGGCCAGGTAGTGCTGCCTCGCTGCTTCTGTATCTTAATGACCGCTTACATATTTGTGCCAGCCCGCTTCCACTCGAAAGAGAAGATCAACAAGCGGCGAAGGAGAAGGCAAGCACAAGTGCCCAAAGCTATGCGACAGGGACTGCTTACAGAGCAAGGATGAGAGCTCAGGTTTCTAGAGACGCGCCAGTCTCCTGCCAGCCATCCTGCCTCCCCCGGGTTTTGAGGGGCAACCAAAACTGCTCTTTATTAGCATGGAAAAAAATGTTGTCATGTGTCCGAGCTCTTTCTCCAGCCTCGCAGCTCCTGTGATGCACCTTTTCACGGCAGAAAAGGGTGGCTGTGTGAGAATGTGGCAGGGAAGGAAAAATCCTGAAAGCAAACCCGTGGCTTGCTGGTTGGGCTTGAAAAGGCAGCAGGGCTTCTTGCCGCCTTGATCTCTCTACATTCAAAATTAGGCTTCCACAATATGACTTGTCTCAGATCCCAGCTCCTCTGATCTACTGCCTCACAGCGTAATTGATACCAAGAAGGATTTGGCTTTCCCCAGTGGTCCCCTGAGATAGACCTCCTAATGACTGAGGCAGGATCTCCTAACACCATGCGCTGATGCATCATTCATTACTGCTTAGGACTGGGAAAGAGGAAGGCAAGTGAGTGCAAAAAAACAAACCCACAAATTTCAACTCTGATCAAAACCAACAAAACCTCCCCAAAAATCTGTCTGTTGGAGCAATCCTAGTATTTGTATTGAATTTGTCTTAACACCACTGTAGGATTTCGAACTTCCCTAGTCCTGCTGCTTGTCTGCCCACAAGGAGCATGCATTTGCAGCTACGTGTAAGCACATTGCTTGCTCTCTGTAAGGCTGACCTTGAGCAGCCTCAGAGGCTACAAATAACCCCCAGTGGGATCAGTGAGTTGGTGCAAATCCATTGCGGTCAGAAAGCTGAAGATCTGGCCCACTGTGGGTGCAAGTGAAAGCCAGGTGCGCCATCACATCATCATTTGGAGCAGCTGTGCTTGCCTTGGGGGTCATAAGCTTTGCACTCACCTGACCACATGTTTCTTTGAATAAGAGCCCCAATTTTTTGGTGCCGGTGCTAGCATATTTCTTTAGCACATTTCTGTAAATCGTGATCACACTGGAATGGCAATGCATGCATTTCTGTGCAAAAACTAGAAATCCGTAGCTCACATCCACCTCAGGACGAGAGGACAAACAGACACAGAGCTAACTATTTTCACAGCTGCAGCTGAAACCAAGGAAAATGTGCATGGAGAATGAGGCATTTTTAATGTAATATCACAGCGGACTCAGAAGTCTTGCTTTGGCACAACGCATCTAAACTTCAGTAGGTGTGTCATGCTGTTGAAATTGGTGGAGATACTAGGGTGTGCTGAGATGCATAATGAACACCTCACGGACTTAGGGCATGATGTATCTACTCTTTTATTAACAGAATGAATTTGGCAATAGCGGATGCTGTTTTTCTGTGGTGTCTGATAATGAAAACAATAGTTCTTGTGCTTTCTAAATGTTTAAGTTATTAAAAGAAAATGCAATAACCATAATCTGGGGACCTAGTGCTACCAATGCATTGATTACGATTCAGCTAGGAAATCTGCCGCTCTGGTCAAGAGCTCTGCCTTCAAAGGACAAACCTCTCTGCCGGGGTCCTGGAATGAGCCTTGCGGGGGTTAAGTGCCGCTGCTCCCCTGTCCCTCCCTACAAGACCTTCCTTGGACTCTGCAAAGCACAGGATCACTAGGGGGGCTGGAATGTAAATACCTGCCACTGGATTATCTGTAAAAGCAATTGCAGGGGAACAAGAAAAGTCATTTTAAAAGGACATCTATAAACGCATTCCTTCCTTCTTCTTTCTCTTAGCTTCTGGGAAAACCTTATTGACCGTAAAAGGGACTACACCGCTAGTACCGGGTAGGAGTGACCCTTATATCTGGTGGTGGCTTCCAAAGGCAGGTACACGTGCGCACACTGCAGCGCTCTGGCTGGGGTAGTGTAGAAGTCTTTGCCACAGCTGCAAGGGAACCTCCTGACCTTCCTAACATGCCACAAGCCTTTGCCAGAACAAACCTGCCACCTCCACAGCAGCCCCATTTTCTTCCACCAGCCTGAGGGTGCTGAGCACTGTCTCTGGCACTCCCCGTCCCTCTTGCCCTTGCCAGCTGTGCCTGGCGGCTCTGGGGGACATTTTGTTTGTGCTTCTCCCTGTTCTGTGGAGCCACAGCTGCTGAAGAGGACTGGGAACAGAGCAGGGTTCCTCCTACCATCACTTCACCACCACTTGGTTCAGCTCGGCGCAGCCAGCCTCTGCGCTTGTCCCTGGACCACCACCACAGCCGATCAATTACTGCTCCTTACGTCCAAAATGTAAAGCTGGTTTGTGACAGCCATCTTCTTTTCTCCCTTCCCTCATTCCAAGCTAGTGTGCCCTGTCAAATTCCCTCTGCCAATTCTTTTTTTTTTTTTTTTCTCCCACACTGGAGTTCATGCACTTTAGACATTTGCAGAGTGAGCACATGCATCAGCCCCCATAGTAAGACTCTGCTCCTGGTTTCCTTAAGTGTTGCCAAGGTGGTCACTGCCTTGTCCTCCTCATGCCAAAGACAGCAAAGGACGAAGCCTTTAAAATACTTGCAGGAAACTAGCCCTGTTTGTCCTGTCCCCTTACGATGGCTTAGTCTAATTCTTAGGCCGTCTTGCCCATGACACTATGCTACCAGCTGCAGTCGAGGACCCATTTCTACGGAAATATCCACAGCATCCCAATGACACGAAATCTCTTTTCATCCCACCATGGCTATGACTTCCTCGGGAAAGACTCCAGTAGTTAAGACAAAGTCAAACTGTCAAAGATGTGAAAAAGAAGCAGGAAGCCAGTTTCTCTCTTCTCCCGACATAGCTGCCTCAGAGAATCGGTGATGTTGAGGGAATCCTCCCTCTTGCACAGTTAGGCTGCTGCTTGCTGGCTTTGCCCTTGGGTCAGCCAGCTTGTGGCAATGCTCAGCACCAGCATAATTTAAGGAATTTGATGCCTCTTCCAGACAGCCCTGGTTTGAGCTGTTTGGATGGCAGCTGTGCGTTCAGCCCCCGTCTCACAGAAGGCGAAACCGAGGCCCATGGTGCTGCGGCAGGCCCTCCAGCACGGAGCGAGGAGAGGCCCTGGTGAGGTGTGGGGGCGCGGCCCTGTGCCTTTCTGCCAGAGCCCCTCTGGCGGGCAGGCCCAGGGGCTGTCTCCTCGCAGTGCTCTGGCGTCCGCGGCGCAGGGAGTTAGGCGAGGTTAATTGATCTGTTTGTGTGATGAAACGTGCCTGTATGCTGGCCTCCCTCTAAGTGCTGCCTGCCACAACGAATCAGCGAGATTGCTGTCCTCCAGGCCTCCCGGAGTCTGCCACAACTGGGGCCACCCAGGAGCCTCAGGACTTGTTACATATCTGTTTGGTTAATTTTTATGCCGAAAAGAAGGCAAGGGAAGCCTCTTTCCCGACAGATGCTGGGAAACTGCCTGTTGGCTGAGTGCTCCAGCATCCAAATCCTGCAGCCCAGCCAGGCCGCTCTGCCCTGCAGCTACAGGGAGCAGTGGCAGAGCATTTCATGGGCTCAGGAGATAGGGTTACCCTCAGGAAGGTCTGAGCCAGCAGAGCCATCAGAGTAGCACACCGCAGTGCTGACTGCAGAGAATTAGACCCCCTCCTCATTTCTAGGGTAAGCAATTGCTGTGGACTGCAACAAGCATCCTATGTAGCCCTGGTCTAACTGAGTCTCATTCTCTCTACGGGCTGAAGCCATACTGGCTCCATTGACACATCTATTTTGCTTCCTGAACTACAAAGTTC